AGAGAGAGAGAGAGAGAGAGAGAGAGAGAGAGAGAGAGAGAGAATGGTAATCAGCAGTACGAGAGAAACTCATAGTCCCACTCTCAAAGCCTGGAATTGCCTTAATGGCCGTGTGTTTGTTCTCATAACTTTGGTAGCCCAGACTAGACGTGCCTCCAAGAAGAGCACAACCTTGCAAACTCAAACGAATGAATCTCCCTGTGCCAAGCTTCCCATGACGTAAGGCGTATATTCTATTTCTCTCAATTTTCCATGAAATTTATCCAGTCAGTCGCGCCAGAGTTCCTCTGGCCAAATAAAAAAAACAAAAGGGAAAAAGGATCCAAAGTATACTCACTTCAGCACAGGCGTGAGAGTGCTGTCGCGGCGACAGGAAGAAGGTACCATCTACCAAGGGATACCTATCGAAGACTAGCATGGCCGCACGACAGAGAACGCAGGATACTCTGGACCACTGAAGAGCAGCCAGCGTCGATAAGATGAAGCATCTCGTATCGTCGTTACCATGATTACCCTCGTCTTCCATCTGTAACAGAAAATAAAAATCCGAGCCATTAAAGACTGAATCACCAAAGGATATGCGCAATGCTGACTTAACGCCTAACATTGTATACGTATATGTATAGATATATACACGAGGACTGCGAGTAAAATTGTAAAATGGGGATGGGGATGCAAACTCCAGCTCGTAATCGTAATCTGAATATTCCATTCTCGTCTCGCGGACTCATAAGCCGTCGGCAATAACGTGGCGTTGTCAACAAAGGTTCACCCACCACCCCCATCATCGTCGTTAAACCTTCATGGAGGAAACTAACCTTCTACCTTCTACCTTGCAGACTTCAGGTTCGCAGTAGAGCCGGGTTAGGGGTTCCGACTTTAACAGCGATGCCGGGCTGAGCGGTAGGGGCAGAGCACGGCGGGGATATTTCAGGAGACCCAGACATTTATATCCACCGTAAATAATACTGATCATAAGCTTGCCTAGAGGTTGGCTTGTCTCGTGTATGAAGTGGAAAAGCGTGAAACTTGGGTCATGTGTAAAATTGTATGGAAGTGGAAAGTGAAGCTTTACGTGACTTTGGGGTTTGCCGAGGAAGGCGTCGACGTAAGTGAATTTAATTGCTGGAAGAGGCTGTGGACTTAAGGGACGTCTGGTTGCTTTGCGCGAGTACTCGGTGTATTCTCTATGTAATTGGGAGCTGGAGATGAGGAGGGACGTAGGCGGAAGAAATGAATATCGAAGTTTCCTTAGGTGCCGCTTCGCTGCCTCTAATTATCCAGTGGATGCTGTGTTGACGTTACGTTCACGTGGTGCAATAATAAATTGAATTCACCATCCGGCCGTTCACATCAACTTATACATCCTGTGCGAGCGTAACGGCCTTTTAGTTCATACGTTCATACGTACGACAAACACGTGTGGATGCGAATGAGAATAAATTTGCCACATTTAAAGATGGTTCTGATGAATTTTTTTTTAATCTTCGTCTTCTATCTCTACCCGGTACTCCGCTTACTCGTGTCGATGAAAGACAGATTTCTTTTATCTACCAAATTGAATAATAATTACATCCTAAAAATCCCACGTTGTTACTCGTCGAGTTCGAGTGTTTCCTTTCTTTCTCGATCCTTGAGAAATATTCTCGATGGACAATAGAAAATGCCTGAGAGATCCTTCGTGAGATAGGTCTGTCCCGAGGTGAAGAGCAGGAGTGAGTATCCTGCCAAGGTTGGACCGATATTACACGATGAGGTAAAAGCTATAGGAGAGAGAAGGGACCGGCCTTGTATTTATTTTAAAGAAAGCTACAGGGGGGCTGGAAATACCCTGCGGCCGCAATAGGAAGTCCAACGTTTAATCACGATTGTCACGAGTTCTTTTGAGCTGTCGCTAATGGATCCGGAGTACAAATAGAGGAGTAAAAGTCCCTCGTGTCCCCCTGAGTATTTTCCTCTTTTCCCCGCAAAGCCCTTATTTCCCCATTTCACCTTTTCCTTCGTCCCACGACTTTGCTACTTCTCTTCGATTGAATAACGCCCACGTCATTTCCCCATCAATGACTCTCATTATCGTCCTCGCTACCCTTAGTCCATTTGCCTAGGATCCTGCCAATAATCGTCTGTTCCTCAATTAAAACTCCATTTTAGAGAATTTAATAAAAATCGATCAGGCTCCACACTTTAGGCTTAGGTCTAGACGGACTTTCGTCAGACCTGGGTCAGACCTCACAGATCGCATCGGCACGAAGGATCCTTTTCTAATGCATTACTCTCATCACGTTCTCGTATATCGAAGATCGATTCTACCCTTTTCGTTTCCTCGTCTCTTCATCCTCCCTCTTCCTCGATCCACTTAAGTTTCCCAAAGGTTGTCTCGCACTATCGAAGAAAAGCTTTCATCGGTTCGTTCACCTGAGGTAAAGCTGCGTCCTTGGACACCAGCTGCCGAATCAAATTCCATTAAACGATCGGAACTTTACGACTGGCTCCAAGTACTCGGTTTGGTGCCGCTACGTTTACCGCTTCTACGTCGCGGCGCGCAGCGTCGGGGTTTGAGCTTCTTCGTGCGGGATCGACTCGTTTATATCGCGGTCGGCACCGTTAAATAAACCGAACCTATCGAGAGTGTTCTTTGGATGGTAAATGGAAACCCTTGTCTATACGATCTGTACCTTACTATACGTGCACGTACTATACCTTATTCTTGTCCTTTACTCTCTTACGTCCCTTAGCTATAGCCATGCTCCCCACCCTCTCTCTCTCTCTCATAATACTTGTATATAGTATACGCAGCTGAAACGTATATACGAGTGAACTGGTTCGTTTTTATTCTAAAATAGTCGACGACACTTTGGCCAACAGTTTTACGGTCTAAATGTCAAACGCTCTCGTGATTCGTTGCGAGTCTACGGAGTAACGCGTGATAGTAGATATAACGTAGTAAATGCGGGGAAGCAATAACGTTAACGCCTTTCGAGGGAAACTGTGACAGGTTTGATTTCCGGCGAATCTAATCCCGATCCCATCTCCCTAAGTGATTGCCTGGTAGCCCTCCCGTCCCCGTTTAGTTTGCGCGTATCGTAGATTTTCTCACGCGCTTAGGGAATACCAAGGCGGGCGAAAGGGGGAATCTTCGAAATTTCCCTCACTACGATCTTTGACGAAGGTTTGTTTTTCTCCCCGTAAGGCGTTTGTGTCGCGTCTAGTATTTTTATTCTTTTTTCTTTCTCTGACCAGATACACTTAACGAATTTAGCAGACAACAAAACGGTGGAAACATTTGAAACGAACTAAATCCTAAGAGATCCGGCACACGGCACTCGACTCTCCAAATTGCGTAAATGGCCACTTTCCACTTTGATGTAAGCGGATTTTACGTAGAGACCCTACAAAGGCCTTCTAGGAGTTCCGATTCGAGGATGAGCAAAATTACTATGTCCCAGGATCCGGTAAGCTCTCTGCAGTCGACTCGCATTGACTCAAGTCAGTGTCGCCAACCTTGGTGAGACGCGAGTCTCGACTCAAATCCAAAGTCCAATGCGAGGGTGTCGAATCCTTTTAAGCACGGCCGAAGGATTCGGCTCTATATAAGATGTGGTTTAGCACCCTTGGCTTTGCTGCCCTTGTCCCCCCGTGTAAAACTAAGACGATTTCAGCCTGGAGAAAATTCCCAACTCCCATGGGTTCTTTGGAGGGGGGGGGGGTCCCGTGGTCGATCAAACAGTCGGTGGAGAGTTCTCTGAGAAAATTGCACTGGGGATGCTGCAAGGATGGGTTTCGTAATGAAAAAAAAAAAACTATTAACGAAAAGTCCGACTGATCTCATGTCGGATGAAATTAAGTGTCGACACCTATGAGACAAAAAAGAAAAACTATGATGCATGGATCTAATTTTTATTTCGACTTTTTCTAACAACCTTCTGGGAGACACTCATAATCTTCATCTCTCTCTGGTGAGTTTACTACAGGAGGAGCAGCTTGTTCAGTCGCAAAAATCTCCCCAAGGAATGGCCACGTTTTTCGTCATAAATAATATAAGGTCCAAGAGGCGTAGCTGCGTTGGGCCTCGGCCGAGCAAACACGTCAGGACAATCGTAACTCCTTTAACTCAACGATTTACGAGCACGAGACGAAAATATGTCAGCGTGATCCGCTGACCGGAAAATACGTGAAAGCCCAAAGTGTTACAACTTCGAAAAGTTTTATCCCGCAAGGGATGCTTGACGTTGACCCACTCTTATTCCTTACAAAATAAACGGCATCGGAAAAAAAAAAAAAAACTTCCCTTTGTCTCTCTTCCTTCCGTTCTATGCGCCACTTCCGCTTTCCTCGTGTTCTTTGCCAATTCCTGTTGACAGTAGTGGTAGTCGAGTAAGAATACATATATTGTACTTTACTTTGACATGGAAAGTCTGAATCAATAATCTCATGGTCGGGACCTAGAAAACGGAACATTGAAAAAAAGTCCAAAAAGACGCGACTAAGAGTGAAAAAACAGAATATGAGCAGAATACGGATAAAGAATACAGAGAATTCCAGAAACAAGGGATCAAAGGTACCGAAACTTTGGAACTTTTTATTCCCAAAAATTTCACTCCAATCTTCTATTCAGTAGAACAGAAAAAAATTTAGACGAATTACGCGCGAGATGAGAGAGAGACAGAGAGAGACGGAATATTCGCCAAGTAAAAGAACCCCTCGGCAAATATTCGAACCGTGTAACGTTTCACTGCCTATCTTTAAAATCGCTATAGTCTTTCCTGTCCTCCTTTTAATTTCTTCTCTTTTCTCAAACGGATCGTCTTATTAAAAATATCTACGAAACAAAAATTTCAAAATAACGTTGCGACTTCGACATCTGCTCATACTATAGTACGTAGCACGGTACTACAGTTTTCAAGTATGTAACTTGGTACACGCTAGAGCGAGTCTCCCGGGTATTACAAGATTTTTATTTTTAATCCCATTCCGTCTTACCGCTTCTAAGCGGCTTACTCTCGATTTCCGTAGCAAGGCGATTACATCTAATTGCGATTGAAGAGGGCAGGAGGTGAAGGAGAAAAAAAGAGCTTCATATTCCTTCACCGAGTCACTCGGGCATGAAATTCAAAGGATCAGTCCCGACGTTTTTTCATTTCTCAATCAATTTCTACTGTCGGTTGAATTCGCGTCAGGATAATACGTCATTGTGCTATTATCATTATGCAGAAGTTGGCGTGAGACGTATCGCGTGTAAATCCAAAGACTCGCTTTACGTCGTATTTAAGTCTATGACGCATTTACATGTTTTCGGGCAACTACCTAGGGTCGCTACGTTAAAGCAGAGAATCGCATTGCAAATTTCCTGTAATATTTGCACGCATGTTCTCCAATACGGCACATACGTGCTGTCTCATAGAAACGAGTACAGACATTGATGTATGATGCACGCAGTCCCCCCATGCCATCGCTGCATTTACTGCCTTGGTCGTTTGGCTGGTGCCCCCCATAGCTATTAATTATGCAATGCAGAAGGGTTGTTCG